AGGCGTGAAGAAGGAAGGGAAATTTGTGAAGAGTTCATTTTTGCCAATGATGAAAAAACCCAAATATTTCAAACTTTTTAACGCAATTTTCGTATTTATAATGCTACCTATAAAGCTATTAAATATCGATGTGGATCCTAATGGGTCACGAAAGGTTTCGATAACCTTTCACAAGATTCAAAGAGTTATACTACGTACGTAGTATATCCTTTATTTACTACAAATATAAAAAAGAGTCGCACATTTGGGGAAAAAAATCTACAATCTTTGGCAAAAAATACGTTTATTAGGAATATAACCAAATACCAGATAGCTTCTCATTTATTAATTATATGACTAAATAGCTTTTCATAAATTAATGGTGTTTTACATTCATTATTCATAATAATTACAACCTATTTGGTGTCCACTCATATGGTGGTTTTTTAATGACTATTCATTACTACAATGTAGAGCTGCGGTAACTTATGTTCAAAACTTGAACATGAATTACTATTATTTCATTATTACTCTAGTAAGTAGTCATATTTTTGTAAACCATCTTTATTTTGATCATATTTATGCAATTATTTCTTTTCTTCAAAATATAATCTTTTTTTCTAAAAAGATTCTAATTTGTATCAATATTAAAGTATGAATCTATTTTTCCTATATTAGACAACCGAGCCTTTCATTCATTCTTCTTTACCGAGTTTTTTTTTGACATTACCGTGAAATGTTATTCACATTGTACATGTATTTGAGATCTTTTACCACCACAAATAAATGGTGATGGTGAAACTCTTCCGATAACAAAAAACCTAGATAAGAACATGACCAAAATTTCCAGACCCGAACTGCTTTTGTTTGGTTTTATAATTCATGTGTGTTTGTGGATATTATTGGTGGTGGGCATGATAAGATCTGTGGACTTTGTGTCCTCAAGGGTTGGTGAGTCGTTGATTGCAAGTTCGAGTGTTACATGTGCTTTGTTTTCCAATCATAAGATGATACTATGATAGGATCTCACATTTCTTTGTTACATTTGATTCACTCCATTTTTACTAATTACAACATAAAAATGGTAGATCGTTTCCAAACAATATTTGAATCGAATATTTCGTATGTAGCTTAGATAATGATAGTTTAAATGAAAGTAATAGAGTTATAAATTTGATACATGTGTCATATACATTACAAACTTCACGTAAGTTATGAGCAAATTACACTATTTTTAAATTTTAAAATATAATTAACTTTATATAACAAATTTTACTCATTTCAAGTTTAAAAATTGTTAAATTTTCAGTAGTCATAACTTATATACATCATGATTCACGGGCCAGAGCAATAATATATCGAATTGGAGGTATTTCAACGTTCTATGATAACTTTTAGGGGTCGGCTGATCCTAAGTTTCAAGGAAACACATAGAGAAGGGAAACATAAATTCGAGTGTTACATGTGCTAAATTGCAAGTTCGAGTGTTACATCTTCAAGTTTTGTTCCATCACATAAATTTTATAAATATAAAATAACCCAAATAACTTGTAGTTGATTGCACATATTTTACTTTACTATTTTCATGATATTTCTAATTATTAGATCTATTATGAATCAATAGAATGTAATAATGTTTTTTATATCTATACATGCAAACTCAATGTCTTTTGTTTATGTTTTGAAAGACTTGAAGTAGGCGTCCTATTCTTCCTATTCTTGAAGTAACCTTCATCGCTCCGACACTACAACGATTTTTAATGTTTCATTTATTACATGAAAATTTAAATCACTTTTGTTCTATTAAGTGTTCAAAGTTCATTAATTAGTTAAGTTTGAGCTTTGATGTTTGAAGTGATTAGAGTTTCAAATAAAATTTTAATACTCGTGTTTTGAATTTTCGACGTGTTTAAAATTATGTGTTAATTCTTAGACGAGAAAAAATTATTCTAGGAACCGGTAAAAGGAAGAACCGAACCGTTTACTACCGGTTCGGTTCCATAACGGTTCTTGATTTTTTATATAGGAACCGAACCGATTTCATTAGTTAAAACTTTTATAACGGTTCCACTCATTTTGAGTGAGAACCGAACCGGTCCCAGCCCTATTTTCAATCTTATTCAGCAGCAACCATCGCTAATTATCATCTTAGGATGCAAATACAAAACTCTTTCCAGTTCTCACTTCAGTTAAGACTTATGGAGTGTTTGCAATTGCTTTAACTTTAAAAAAGTGATTTTTTAAAGTGATTTTGGAAAAAGTGATTAATAGTAAAAGTCGATAGTGTTTGAGGAAAAAGTGATTCTGAAAAAAGTTGGTAGTGTTTGGTAAAATAAGTACTTTTTGTGTAATAGAAAAAGTGAAAAGCAGTTTAAAGCACCCTTCCACATGCTTCCAGTTTTTAACTTTTAAGTGATTAATTTAAGCAGAAGCTGTCATTTGAAAACACTTTTTTTTAACTTTTTTTAAGCCAAAAGCTGAAAGACACTTTTTTTAATCAATCGCAAACACTCCTTTAAGCCATGAAACACCACGTCGCCACATCCACCTCAAGACCTACAAAACTTAAGGAGTGTTTGGGATTACTTTAAAAAAGCGCTTTTTAGCTTTTGGCTTAAAAAAAAGTTAAAAAAAGTGTTTTCAAATGACAGCTTCTGCTTAAATTAATCACTTAAAAGATAAAAGCTGGAAGCAGATAGAAGAGTGCTTTAAACTGCCTCTCACTTTTTCTATTACAGAAAAAGTATTTATTTTACCAAACACTACCAACTTTTACTTTTTCACAATCACCTTTTTCTCAAACACTACCAACTTTTACTATTTAAAAATGGAGAGGTGACCAATAAAAAGTACCATGCCTATCAAAAGTTCTTTAAAAATCAAAACACTCCAACCATACCTACTCGAACTGAAATAAAAAAAAGTACTACGAAATGAAAAATAATATGAAAATAAAACTTCCCCAAATTGCTTTTTTTGCTTGGAGGTTGTTATGTCTCAATCCAGCTCAGGTCTCGTCCAAATTACACCCACAAAGGATGATAATCACCACTAGGAAGCTAAAGGGGAGTTTGTGGGCATCAAGCCAGCACACTTTTTCCGGCCAATTCGCACTCGGACGTCCACAGAGGAGCAAAAGGCTGATCGGGATAGAAACGGGAGTAGCAGAATGCATGTTATATTTACTCAAAATCTTTTCAATATATGAAATCTGATTGAGAACTAACACACGCTTACTCCTATCCCTAACAATGTTAATGCCTAGGATCCTTTTGGCATCACCTAAGTCTTTCATAGCAAAGTTCTCACTGAGACGCTTTTGCACACATTTAATGGCGTCACCCGAAGGACTAACAATCAACATGTCATCCACATATAGCAATAAAAATATAGGCACGAAAGAAGTATTTTTAAAGTATAGGCAATGGTCGCATTCGGACTTGTGAAATTTCAAAGATGACATGCACTGGTCAAATTTGATATTCCACTGCCTCGGGGACTGCTTCAGGCCATACAAGGCCTTCCTTAGCAAACACACATGATCGCTCTTCATGGGATCCACAAAGCCCTCAGGCTGCGACATATAGATTTTCTTATCTAAATCACCATGCAAGAATGCAGTGGTGACGTCCATTTGCTTCATTTCCCAATCATTATGAGCAACAAGAGCAAGCATCATACGAATCGTAGTAAATTTAACTACAGGAGCAAAGATTTCAGCATAATCAACACCTTCCTTTTGAGTAAATCCCTTAGCTACTAACCTAGCCTTATATCTAATGTCGTTAGGCTCTTCCTTAACCTTAAATAGCCACTTACAAGCAACAACGGAACTATTGGGCGGTCTAGGAACTAACGTCCAAGTCTTATTCGGTCTAAGTGACTCCATCTCACTTTCCATGGCACAAAGCCATTTAGCAGACTCATTAGACTTAAGGGCCTCTCTATAGGTTCTAGGTTCGTTAAGCTCAAGGGTCTCAAACACAGAGAAAACAAACATAGAAGTATCACACATATGGAAAGCATAATCAGGCATACTATCAGCAGTCCTCCTAATTACTCTCCTACTTCTATCTCTAGCAAGTTGATAATCATGCAAATCATTCTCAGTAGAATCCGCACTCTCATCATGCGATTCATTGTCATTTGAATGCACATGAGAATGCTCCACCTCACTCGAAGTGGTGGTAGTATCATGCTCAGAAGAATCAGAATCATGCAATTCAGAAGAATTAGACTCATGCAAAACAACATTATCATGATTAGCAAACAAAGGGCTAGTAGCACGTGGTATGGACTCCACCTCAACGGGTGTACTACTAGGATCAGACTCAGAATCAGGAACTGACTTAACCAGACAAGGAAACTCGGATTCATTGAAAACAACATTTCTGCTTACCACAACTTTGAAACCTACCTGGTTCCTATCCCAAACCCTATACCCTTTCACACCCTCGGGATAACCAATGAAGACTCCTTTCTTAGACCTAGGATCCAACTTGTCACCTTGTTGGTGCACATGCGCTGCACACCCAAACACTCTAAGATTAGACAAATCAAGGGGTTTGTTTGGAAAAACAGATTCAGGGCACTTCCCACCCAAGGGAACAGAAGGAGACCGGTTAATCAAGTAGACAGCAGTGTTAACTGCTTCACCCCAAAACTTTTTAGACAAACCGGCGGTGGCAAGCATACTCCTAACCTTATCTAGAACAGTCATATTCATCCTCTCGGCTATCCCATTTTGTTGGGGAGTATAGGGCACAGTTTTGTGCCTTCTAATCCCACAATCAACACACAGTTAGTCCATATCCTTATTGCAAAACTCTAGATCATTATATGTCCTAAGGGTTTTGACATTCTTACCAGTTTGATTTTCTACAAGGTTTTTCCACTCCCTAAACTTCACAAAGACATCAGACTTATGCTCAAGGAGACGGACCCACACCTTCCTAGAAAAATCATCAATGATGGACAAAAAATATCTCTTACCCCCGTGGGTAGAGACACTAGCAGGACCCCACACATCAGCATGAACATACTCTAACACAAAGGTACACTTAGTGGGATTAGGATATGAGGAGGAGGGGAATGTAACCTTATGCTGCTTGCCTAACACACAAGATTCACAGAAGGGGACGGGGGACACAGAATCCTTACCAAAACAACCAGATTTATGCAAAATCTCTAAACCCCTATTACTCATGTGTCCTAATCTATTATGCCACAAAGTAGATTTATCAGAACTAACAACATGAGCAGAATCACAGAAAGTTTGAGCATGACACACATACAAGTTATTCACCTTTTTTTTGCCTTAAACAAAACAAAGGAATTTTTCAAAACTTTCATGCACCCATTACCCCATTTACCCTCTAACCCACTACCCTCAAAAGCAGCAACAGAAAACAAGTTATGACGCAAATCAGGAACATGCCTCACATTTTTCATAGTAAACACAGTCCCATTATCAAACTTCAAACATACATCACCCACCCCATGAATTTTGCATTTCTTATTATCAGCAAGAGACACAAAACCATCATTGCAAGAATCATAAGAAGAAAACAGGGATCTAAAAGGTGTCATATGATAAGTACAACCAGAGTCAATCAACCACTCATTTTCAGTCATGCTACTCAACATAGAATGGGTAGAATCACAAATCATAAAAACTTCTTCATGCAAGTTATTATCATCTACCACATTAACATGTTCAGACTTCTTAGGATGGGGACAATCCTTAATGAAGTGACTAGAATTACCACAATTATAGCACACTCTCTTCTTAGACTTACCTCTCTTCTTCCCCGGGTCATTGTTTTTGTTCTTATGGTTATGTTCTTATCGTTGTTGCCCTTCTTATGGTTTTTAGATCTACTCTTAGACCTACCCCTCACAAACAACGCTTCACCAGAGTCCCTAGACTGACTGTTACTACCCCTCGAGTGTCTAAGGTCTAACTCCTTACTCCTTAATCCATTAACGACTATATCTAACGAGATATCGTCTCTACCATACTTTATGGCAGATTTGACGTCATTGTATGAGTCAAGGATGGCATTAAGTAACACTATGGGTGTGTAGTCATCTATGTGTTTATCACCAGCTTGCTTAATATTCTGGATAAGCTTGTTAAACACATCTAGGTTCTCATCTATGTCCTTAGACAGGTCAAGCCTAAATCTAAAGAACTTCTCAAGCAAAAACAATTTACCAGGCAAAGAAGTATCGGTATACAACTTATCTAACCTGTCCCACAAATCCTTCGCAGAATCTATAATACCCACCTTCCTGAGCACTGAATAAAAAAGGTTCAGGTATATAGAGGAACAAGCAGTTTCATTCATCTCAACGCGCTTTGCAGCATCCTCAGAGTCTAAATAGAGACCAGTCACAGCTCTATAGACTTTCTGTTGGATCAACACGCATTTGATTTTTTGTTTCCAGATATCAAAATCTGTCTTTCCGTTAAATGGAAGCATGCCATATTGATTGACAGCCATATTTGTAACACTTGAGATTTAATATAAACAGATTAATAGTACTACTCATGCCAACAAGATGCATCTCCTTTTAAGGGAGCTCATCCGCTAAGAACTCAAAAGTTAAGCGTGCTTGCACGGGAGTAGTCTTGGGATGAGTGACCCTCTGGGAAGTTTCTCAGGACGCGCACGAGTGAGGACAAAGTGCGCGGAAAAAGGCTAGTGACGGTTTGTGAGGACAGTACTAGAGGTCTGGAGTAACTACCTCGAGGCTTGCGGGGCCGGGGTGTTACAATATTAATCGGAAAGCAAGCACAACACGCAAGAGAGTAAATAAAAAAAATTATCAGGCTATCAACCGGTACGAAGCAACTAGCACGAACAAGCCGAGAAGACCAATGAACACAAAGCTCGGGTACAGTCTCCTTGTTCTTTCGTACCGTACGAAGCAACTAGCACGAACAAGCCGAGAAGACCAATGAACACAAGGCTCGGGTACAATCTCCTTGTTGTTTCGTACAAGCACAGATAAAATTTTTTATTTACTCAACAGACAGATAAATGATTAATTATAACCTATAGGGCTATCAATTGTACGAAGCAACTAGCACGAACAAGTCGAGAAGACCAATGAACACAAAGCTCGGGGTACAATCTCCTTGTTCTTTCGTACGAGCACAAATAGGCTAGAATTAAATCAATAAGCAAAGAAACTGGATTTAAAACTAATCCGGACAGAAATATTCCCAACTTCGGACAACAAGTATCCAAACAAATATTCTTAACCGGAGAGTTTATCCACGAATCAATTAACGAAAAAAAAATTAAAATCAAAATCCAACACGTGATTAAATTTAAACCGGAAGAAATATTCACAACTTTGGACAACGAGTATCCAAACAAAATATTCTTCACCGGAAAATTAATTCACGAATCAACAAGTAATCACAATTCAACTAACAAGCAAAGAGCAATTCAACTTGGAATAAATATGAATGAACTACGAATAAAAATCACACAAAGGATTAGTAAACGCACCTGAGGCCGGGCACAGCCGGCTTCCAAGACCACGTAGGTCAGCAGCGGGAGAGCGGGGAATTAAAAAAAATCCGGTGGCACTCCGGTACACCAAGGGTGTTAAACGCCAATTTACCTGAGCGAGGCCCGAGGTTGGGTTACCCGACTTACCGTAGGCAGCGTGGGCTGCTACAGGGTGAGGCGGCAGTGGACTGAACTGGCGGCAGAGCTCCCTGGTAGGCAGCAGATTCTGGACTGGCTGGCAGCACTCTAAACGCAACACTCCCTGGCTCCGGCAGAAGGTCTGAACGAGCACCAGGCGACTCCAGGCGACGGCGGCCGGTTCTCTGGACCTCCGGCGACCTCTGGACGGCGGCGACGCGGCGGCAGGAGGTTCTCTGGACCTCCGGCGACCTCAGGTCTCGTCCAAATTACACCCACAAAGGATGATAATCACCACTAGGAAGCTAAAGGGGAGTTTGTGGGCATCAAGCCAGCACACTTTTTCCGGCCAATTCGCACTCGGACGTCCACAGAGGAGCAAAAGGCGAAAGGAAGAGAAATAGGGTTTTTCAGCCAACAACCATCGAAAGAGGAGAAGCACGATTAAATAGGGTCAAACACAGTGTCGGGTAAGGAAACTTACCATAAGCAGAAGATACACCTTTAATCGTCAAAGGGAGAAAGTAATCGTACCAGCCGCAGGGAGTACTAGGATGTGCGAATGGAAGAAAGAAAGCAGCAGGGGCCGGGTCAACCATATGGAATTGGGCTTAGGGAAAACAGGGCTAATACCTTACAGAGGTGGTTCCGAAGGAGGGCGAGCTGCTGTAGTATGGTAGAAGAGAATTTCAACCCTAGGAAGAGAAGTAATCCAGGTTCTAAAGCTGAAATAGAATTATGTAGTGCTGCATTGAAAGAAGGAAAGAGAATTTTTAAGAGGATGTTGATATGTTTTGCTACTTTGAAGCTGAATTGGCTGGCAGGTTGCAGGAGAATCATAGGGGTTGATGGTTCTTTTTTAAAGGGAGTGTGTAAGGGGATCTTGTTGAGTGCAGTTGGGGTGGATGGAGATGGCCAAATGGTTCCTATAGCATGGGCTGTAACTGACAAAGAGAATAAGTCCAATTGGAGGTGGTTCCTAACCTGGCTTGTTCAAGAACCAGATCTGAAGACTGGTTCTTATTTAACCCTTATCTCATATATGCAAAAGCGGTTAATCATTGCAGCTCAAGATGTCATCCCAGATGAAGAGCATAGGTTTTGTGCTAGACATGTGTATGCAAATTGGTCAAAGAAATGGAGAGGTGACCAGTTATGTAAGAAATTCTGGATATGTGCATGGAACACATATGAAGAAGAGCTGCAAAATAACTTAAAAAGGCTTGGAAAATTGAGTAATGAAGCTGCTTCTGATGTTTTGAAACATCCTTTTCAAACTTGGTGCATGGCATACTTTAGTAGCCAAAGCAAATGCTGGATGGTTGATAATAACATCATAGAGTCATTTAATGCTTGGATTAGAGAAGCTAGGGCAAAACCCATTGTCAGCATGCTGGAAGTTATACGCTTGAAGGCAATGAAAAGGCTTTCTGATTTTAAGGGCAGTCATGAGAAGTGGATAAATGATTGGTCTCCCACATGCATGGAGTACTATCAAGCTAATAAGGAGGCTGTCACAGGATGCAATACTATTTTTAATGGTGATGTGGGCTTTGAGATTGGAGAGGGTGAAGATAAACACACTGTGATGTTAGATAAACTGATTTGCACTTGCAGAGCTTGGGAATTGGCTGGCATTCCTTGCTTACATGCCTTGTGTGCATTATACTATAAGAAGGAAGATGCCCTTTCATATATATCTAGGTGGTACCATAAGGAAACATACATGGCAGCTTACCAATACCCTTTGCAACCTATCCCTGGAAAGGCTTTCATGAAAGTGGATGAATATGAACCTATTCTACCTCCCCCAGTTCCTAACTTACTTGGAAGACCAAAGAAGAACAGAGTTAGAGGCTCAAATGAGGTCAAAGGTCCTGGAAGTGGTTCAAAAGTGGTTGATAGTACATCATCCCATAGAGCTTCAAGAAAAGGACAAATCCAAACCTGTGGAATATGCCATCTGGAGGGGCACAAGAGGGCAAAATGTCCTAATAAAGACAGACCTGTAAGTTAAACATTACTATTTGAGTATGCATAGGACTGGTTTTATCATTAATGTGTGTACACCATATTTATGATGATTGATTCTGATACATAATGATATATATTAATGTTGTGATTAGGTAACAAATGAATCAAGGGAACAACCTACTCCTGCAACTCTTAGTACACAACCTGTAAGTTATACATGGCGTTTTCAGTGTACATAAGATTGCTATTATGATGGTTTTGTATTTCAGTGTACATATTTTAGTGTTCCTAAATAGGATATTGATAATAGTTAGGACTAATTCTATAATTTATCTTTCTTTGTTAATTTTGAGGAGTTAATATGATTCATTTTGATTTATATTAATGTTGTTATTAGGCAACAAATGAATCAAGGGAACAAGGTACTCCTGCATGTGTGAGTACACCTGATGGTGTGAATCAAAGGAAAAGACCAGCTTCTGTGGAAGAAAGTACTGACAACCGAAAGGGTAAGTCCAAACTGCCATGTAGAAGAATGGCCAGATCTAAAGGTAAACAACCTGTCACAGGCTTTGGGTGCTATGTTGATGTCAACACTCGTTCAAAGACTATAAATGTGAGTTCATATACCTCAACCTGTCATGGTTAATGTTCCCAAAGTGATGTCTTATTTTAACTGACGTAATTTACAATGGTTAAATTTTTGGATGCAGCCTGGGATGGATAGTGAAGAATTAGTTTCTGAATTCAATCATGAGGTGGCACATGATCCTGATGTGAATGTCAGATTTGTAATTCCTAATGAGAAGGAAATTAGAAGTCCTGACAAATTTGAAAAGGATATTGATGTGCCTGCATATAGAACAATAAGTTTCAAGGGTGATGAAGCTCAAGTCAGAATACCTACCAACTTAATTGCCCTTTGAAGCACCGGGTTTCCAATGGAAGGGAAACAAAGCTATCAGCACAAGACAATTGTTAAACAAAGCCCAAATGAGGAAGGAATCTGCCGTGAGGAAGGAATCCACTGCCCATGGTGATATTGGTCAACCACCACTTTAAATGCTTGGAAGGAGAAGACATGAAAGCTGAATGAAGACTTGAATGTTGTATTTAAAATATTTTTGCCCAGTTGGATGTTATTATAGTTGTCAGTTTTTGGGTTAGTAGGTGACAACATTAACTATTGTACTTGTGTCAAGGTGACCAAGTTATAGGCTTTTTTCGAGTGTTAAATTAGGGGTAGCCTTATCCTTTTGAATTTTGTAACCTCTTTAACAGCTCGTAATATTACCTGTAATGATAACAAGTATTTATATAACTTGTTATATGTTCGATGTCATCCAGGTTCATTAAGCTGTTATTAGGTGGTTTTGTTTATAATATTACATGTAAGTTTGATAGAAGTTGGTTTATAACAGGTCTGGTATAACAAGACTTAGTAAAGAAGACCTAAAGAAGACCTGGACAGAAGAAGACCAAAATAAACAGGTCTTCATTAGGTCTGGTATTGGTGTTTGGAATACATTATATTCAGTTGTACAAGACCTAGATATAGAAGATCTGGTTATGGGTGTTTTGGAATTTGAGGTCTGGAATTTGGCAAAACAGGTCTGGTATAAAGAAGGTCTGGTGTTCCAGGTCTTCTATAGCACAATAAAGAAGACCTGGTTTATTTTTGGCAGAACAGGTCTGGTATAAGACCTCAAAAAGACCCCATGTATTGACCAATATAGACCTCCATTTCTTTTAGCAGAACATGACTTGTATTAACCTGAACAACACCTCAACTGAAATACAACAATAAGATAGGAAACACATACAACAATTAACACCAATGAATTCCAAATACAAGGTCATTTCATACTAATGTTAAACCAAGTACATACATACTAAAGAAGCTACTCCATTGCCCATCAATGGTGTTCAAGATTACAACAAAATACGTTATTACATTATTAACCTAAAATCATACATATGAGTACAACAAGAGCAGACAACATCAGTACAATCACATAATTCCTCTTCAAATTTGCTCTTCTATGTAATTCCAAATGTTCTGCAACCTCTGTACTATTAAGCTTTTGAACCTCAAATTCCATGTTCTGTTTAAAGGTATGCTCATATTCTCGAATTGGAGTTTGAGCAAACTCCCCACCTGCAGTTATGGCCTCCCCTACACGTATGGCCTCCTCTAGTCCCATTATTGTTCTATGAAGCATTCTATTCTCCATGTTTAGATCATTGATAACATGCTTGGCCCTATCCGTTAGAGGTTCGTCATGCCATTCCAAAAACCCACAACCATCATTCTGCAGACATTAATATGAAAAACATCAAAATGGGATAAATGACACCATTTTAAAAATTTTATATTAAAATACCTCATAAAATGGGCAACCATAAAACCGTTGTCTCCCTGGATTCTTATCAGTCCATGAAGTCCAAACTCGAGCTTTCACAGGGATTCCACTTCGGCTCCTACATTTGCAAAACCTCGCCCCCCACCATATTGCGTCTCAATATTCGTTTCGCATTGGACTGAATCAATGGAGGATGATTTCTGTAACCCTGCAGACCTTGATGGTGAAGACCTATATCCCATTGCTATGGTTTCCTATGCACATATGTCTGCATAATAGGTTGGGATAATGAATTAGGGTTCTTGAAGTAAGTCTTTTTTAATGCGCAGTGTAGTTAGGGGGAATTGGGGGAAACGGGCGTGATACGTTTGTAATTTCCGTGTGTTTATTTACGTTTTTAGTTAGTTTTGGTTGTTTAATATTTCGGAAATTACACACTTTCGGTGTAATAGTTTAGTTTGTTAAATTCTTGTAATTTGTTTAGATTAGGTTTATTCTGAGCTTAAACAGGTCCAAGATCAATCAAATGATCAAAGGTGAAGGAAGATGCAAAAAGAAGGAAAAACTCCTGATTTTGGGGTATACTCGGTCGAGTATACCTTATACTCGATCGAGTACCAATACTGATTTTCAAGGATCCGATCCGGGAACAAATGAACATGCAAGGAAAGATTTGGCCACGTTCTATTGTCATACCCGATCGAGTACACCGACATACTCGATCGGGTATACATATAAAATCTACTCGAGTATTGATCGAGTATTGACCAAATTCAGGTTTCTACACATACTCGATCGAGTATATGTACATACTCGATCGAGTACTCGGCCTGCACTCCAAAAAGCCTATAAATACACCTCCTTTCCTTCACTTTAGGACACCAATTCATATACACTCTTAAGCTCAGTTTAGAATAGCATTTCTTTATATTTCTTTTAGCATGTTTAGTCTCCAAATGAGGAGCTAAACTTCCATTTCTTGGTATTGCTCTTGAAGCTTGTTGATTATCAAAGTTGTGAGTTATTTTCTTAACTTCTTTTCCTTGAATATTAATTCTTCCTTTAAATACTATTTCTATATCAATGTTGGGGAGTGTTGCTAAGATGACAATTAGTTAACATCTTGACATTAGTTATAGTAATAGTCATTTCTTCCTCTATGTTAATATTGGGGAGTGTTACTAAGATGACAATTAGTTAACATCTTGATATTAACTATAGTAGGATTCATCTTCTTTAATATTCTTCCTTGAGTATCAATTAATTCCTATTCATATTTCATATTAATATTTTGAACATTACTTAAAGGATCAACTAGTTTTGTTTCATATATTAATTACTACTAGATACGATCAACGAACCAATGGTTAATCGTTGATAGTTTCACAAGTAAGTAACTTCGGTCTATTAATGCACGGTTGTGGTTAATAGATTTAAGAGGAATTAATTGTGTTGGTTAAACCAAAACCGCTTGTGTTGAGGTTATCGATCTCAATTGATTTCATCAAGGAGTTAAGCGATTAAAAGCTACTATCAAGTCGGTATACGGCGCTTGTTCTATACTTGACTAATAGTAAGGGTTATTAATGAACGGTCGTTGTTAATAACTATCCTCGATGAATTGGATATACTCCTCGATTGAGTATTCGAGAGGAGATAAGTTATAGATATAACAATGATCGACTAAAATATATCAACAAGTGTAAAATAGCAATACCAAGTCTCTTTTATCTTTAAATTAAACCACATAACTCGTTCATCTTCGTGTTCAATTTTAATTAAATCACTCAATCAAAACCCCCCTTTATTAATTAGTTTATAAAAAGAGAAGTATTCCTTTCCCTGCGGATACGAACCTTACTTCAATATACTACGTATATTTGTTGTATTGTATTTATTTTGAGTGCACTCACGACAAAGTGCACGTCAGGGCGTTTAACGGGCAAGTTAGAAGGGTAGTTAATAGTTAAGTGAAAAGTTTGATTTTGTGTTTTTTTGGTCCACTATAAACCTCAATGTCATATATGAGATTCATTAAATACCTTGATGTCATTTTTGCCATTTTCCCTTTGTTCATTAATAATAGAAGAGGGAAAACTATCAAATAAGCCCCCGTACTATACCGAAAAAGTCGATTAGGCTCTCGTACTTTACAAACACTCAATTAAGCCCTCGAACTATTAAAATACGTTCAATTAAGCCCTTTCAGTCGATAAGTAACGATTTCCCGGTTAAATGTAACCCGTTTCTCGGCAGACGCCGTTGCGGGGGTTCGAGCACATCGTCGCCGTTGTCACCGTTTAATCGGGAAACCGGTTACTTACCGACCGAAAGGGCTTAATTGAACGTTTTTTAATAGCTTGAGGACTTAGTTGAGTGTTTATAAAGTACGAGGGTCTAATCGAATTTTTCGGCATAGTACGAGGACTTATTTGATAGTTTTCAAAGTATTTATGTAATTCTTTTTTGTTTTCCTTTTATAGGGTTATATTATTCTTGTAGACCAAATAAAAGCGGTCTAACCAACACCAATTCTGCAAATCACAATTTCCTGCTCGCCTCCCTCCTGTTTTGCTTTGCTTCTCCAAGCATCTTTCAGCGATCTAATAAAGATCTCCGATAACAGGCTCTCAATGGAAACGAAGCAACCTGAAAGAGAAGAACTGTCGCCACTGCAAGCTGTTTTTGTTGGGGCTCTCGCGCCAGGCGTCAATGTCCGTTCAATTTTTGCTATTGTCTTCATTGCCCCATAATTATTTCTTGATTAAGTTTCAATCCCTGAGTATTTGAACTTTTCTGATTTTGAGGACATTTTCTAATTTGATCTTAGGCTCCAACTTGGAATACTTTGAAGGTTGCATTCCTGATGCTGGCAGTGTGTCTAGCTGCAATGTTGGGATTGGCTTTCTCTTCAAGTGACTATATGTTGACTCTCCATGTGACTTTCCTTGTTTTTATAACTGGGAGCCTTTTCTGTCTGCTTTGCAGGTCAAATTGAAATTTTGAATTTATTCTCATGCTTAAGTGATTGATTTATTTAAATGATTTCATAACTCTTATGATTCGTTCTGCATTGTATTTGTGGAATCACGTAGTATGTACAGCTTGTGTAATTCATTTTTAGATTAACAACTGATGTGCCTCATTACTCCTCAATTGGATTAGAGTTTTGAGCAGGCCATTATAGTCTATTGTTCTGTGACTGTTTTTTTACCAGAAACCCTTGACCTTCAAAATGTACCATCTTAAAAGAGTTTTGATGATAATAAACTCCATCCAATACTTCACAATTTTTTTGTTTAAGAAAATTGGTAATATTCATGTATAATAGACTTATCTGTTTGAATTTTCTTGTGGATCGAGAGTCGAGCCACCCTTCTTTCATAATTAAAGAAGTCCATCCTATCAAGGCAAGTTCGAAAGCTGTCTAGTTTCTCCTAGTGTTTTTTGTGGAAATAGTAGAGGCACGTCAACATACATCTCACCATCCTCAGTGAGAAAATCTTTATAAATGATAACCTTTGGTCTCCAACTTTTTTATATTTCCTATCAATGGGTGATATTGACAAAGTGGTATTTTTGTAAATATTTTAAAATAGTAGGAAACAACCATTTCATTTATGATAGTTGCAAAATCACTACCTTATATTGTGGTTGAGAATCGCTAGCAATTTTGATATCACATTTTAGTCTCTTATGCCTGCGTGTTTTTTTTTGCGGACAATGTGTGATTTGTGAAATCTTTTACCTTTTGATGCTCAGAATTTGCGATGTGTGATTATCTGCAATCCTTGCTTCCCATTATCTGTAATTTATCTTTAGAGTTTGCAACTAGTAACCCTTTGCTACTTTTTGCTTCTCTTTGCACGGTTGACAAATTACAACTTCCTAACTCTGCTAGCATTAGCTTGCCACAGCTTTCAGTCCAGTAGTCCAAAGCCTTAAGTTACTCCAAATATATCTCTGCACTTATTTGGATTTTGTTAAATTTAATATCAACATCATTTACCAGTTTTTTTAATTTATGGAGCAAGCCTGGTACTTGAATTGTAGTGACTGGTATGGGAAAAGATGTACTATTCAGATTTATATGCTTCTTTGATTCTACAGGTTTCTTGCCGAGACTGGTTTGGTTTCCCCTGAACATCAAATGCAGGAAATAGGCTTAGCGCCCAAAGATGATGCAGATAAATACAAGAGCAGTTGAAGCTTTTTGAGTTTGAAATGTTGAAGACAAACTCTTGTGAAAGAAAATAGAGTAGGTGCAAGACTACTACAAGCACACATTTATATAAGGGAGGAAATGAAATGAACCTTTAAGAACATTTCTACATCGTTACCCATTGCCATAGCATCTTATCCTGAGTGGGTGAGTGGCTGCTTTATTTTCACTTCGGTTCTCTCTCCTTGTAGCAGAATCATTAAACAAACAGTGGTAGTTGAAGCAAGGACGTGCCTTTTCTTGTGAGCCGCCCATTGATGTTCTGTTGAGAGTTATGAGAACTCTTAGTACCACTTTGATTGGATTTTAGGCATGCTAAGCGACCTGTGAATCATGCCAGTTAGTCTTAGAGGGACATTTTGTTTGTTTGACAGATCGCCTTTCATGGACGACTGGACGGGTGTTCCACCTAATTGTATTGTAGATGCTTCATGTACCGATCTTGGGAGTATTATGTAAGTTTCCTATTTAAAAAATCAGCCAGTATTAGGTTCTTAATGTTGAAACCCCTAACATTTTTCAAGTAAATCATTTCATTGGTTGTGGTGAGATGATAGTTTTTATCTTTCAATTATTGTAACAATCTATATCAATAAATATGCTAGTTGTGCTACACGCATTGCGCGATGGGATTGATTTTCACGATTTGTTCTTGGTTGGTACTATTTTATGCATAGTATGAACTCGCGCACAAAAATGTTGTTGAATTGAACACACCATAGTTAAATGAATAAGTTAAACATGCTGCAGTGTACCAGTGTACAGATATTGTTTGAAACTGGTTGAACTATCTTCCATTGTGTGGTTTGGAAGTTAGAGCAAGAAAAGTTGACAAAAGCAACATGTCAATTACATAACGCTGTAAGAAAATTTAAATCCCAATGGAAAAGATAGATAAACCTAATTATTGAGATAAACGAATCCACATCACTTTTAGGCAATTGAAGTTCAAGAATTGTATACTCGCTCCGTCTCGAGTAAAGGTTCTGGTTTGGTTTATGATGTTTGACTGACCATATAGTTAACCAATCCTATCAATTATATAATTGTTTCTAGTAAATTAAAATATTAAGAAACTATATTAAAAGTTTTATAAAGTCGCAAAAAACTCAAATTTGATTAAAGTGGGACATATAAAGTAAAAATAAAAAAAATTATGTTGACTGAAGAATAGCTAACGAGTACCTTTATTTGGAACATACTCCCTCCGTCCCGTTTTTAAGTTCTTACTTTGACTCTCACACATTTTTAGGAATTAAATTTGACTTTACTGTTTAGACACTGTTTAGACACTGTTTGACACTGTTTGACACTGATTGGCACTGTTTGACACTGTTTTGATGTAGGAAAAATTTCCATTTAGGGAAATGAGAAGATAATTTTGGGACGTCCCAAAAAGGAAAGTAGGAAGTTAATAGCGGGACGGAGGGAGTATATATCATGCATTCATGCGTAACATATTTCCACATCATTATTGAGACATTGTTTTCCTCACCCCATCATGACACCCATTTTCAATCTAAATACCTAGTGGTCCTAGTCCTTTATCTGCTCTAAATTGATTCTTCATACTCCCTCCGTCTCTCAATACTTTGCCAAGTTTGACCGGCACGGGGATTAATAAAGTAAAAACTGTGTGGTTGAGGTTTGTGTAGAGGAGAGAGAATTAACTGAAACCACAAATTCTTTACTTAAAAGGGAAAGTGGCAAAGTTAGTGGGACATCCAAAAAAAGAAAGTTGGCAAAGTTATAAGGGACGGAGGGAGTATCATCTTAGGCTAGAGCTTCCACATAATTTGAAGCCCACATTTGCTTCCACTTTTTTTTTTTTAATAATCTCCAGACCTTTTTCCCATGTATAGGGAACCTAACCATAATAGTTGTGCTGAAAACAAATGTTTTGAGCTATTATTTTGACTTCAGACTATAATTCAAACCAAAAGTAGTGTTAAATTAGAAGAATAAATGAGAGAGGCCCAATAAAAATTACCTACGTTTGAGACCTAGCAGACATAACGTTAATGAAATATCACAGCTTACCATTGGAGTTTGCAGATGTTGCAAAAGATTTGATGAGGCCAAAATATGATAAATTACACAGATTAAACTAGTAGTACCTAAAGTATAATGTGGAATCATTGAGTAATTAACAAAGATATCGAAATCAAATAAAGCAGCACTTACACAATGTAAAAAGTACATCGCTTTTTCTTCTAAATCTATTTTCTCCACCAAGGAAATACTCCTTTCCTCAAAACATATACGGAGTACTATAAGTTCCACAAAAAAGTGCACTTTGTGAATGGAAGATGGTGCTTGTCGATGAATTTTATTCTTATAAATCATCCATTATATGCATGTATTTGTGTAAAAGGGAGCTTTGAGTGGCACACCCTAATGACCCTATCTTAATTAAATTTGATACTTCGTATTTAATTTGATATGTAAGAGAAGTATCTTTCTCCATATGTTACATGTATGCGTGAGTGTGTGTTGTTCTACGTCTACTTTGTTATTTGGATAAATAAAGTTAAGAAATAATTAGTTAATTACATATTTATGATTAAAATAAATATTTATGATTAAAATAAGTATTGTTTATGAACATGGTAACATTTTATATGTAGTAAGAGTAGTAACTTAGTCATGATAGTATATGTTCAATTTCACACTAGTGACCATGACATTATACTATAGTAATTATTATTTTTACTACGTGTTTTTGTAAATAAGTTATATTGCACTAATATTTTTGAAAAACATCTAAACTGAATGCATTTCTCAATTTAACATTTCATTTATTTGTTTTTGATTGATTGATTAAATCATAACTTTACTCTAAAATACGGCAGGCCCAAAACTTGTCATTAACTGTTCAGTGGTTGTGGATCCAAACTGCAAAAAATACAATATTCTGAGTTTACGAGTCGTTGACTCGTTGATGATGTACAAGCGTTACTAAAAACATGGTCTGAAGAGAACCATACTAAACTAAAAATTGATCTCATCATAGATTCAAGGAGTTGCTAGTTCTCTTGATTTAATCTGATTCAATGAGTCATTTCTATTAACTTGATGAGCAATAAGATGTTGCTCATGCCAAAATCTTAAATTAGTTTATGTTACTTTTTATTAGTATCAATGTATTCGAGAGGAAATGGATGTACTTGATTAACACACAAGGGCAATCTCATTACTTCCCTATTTGCTTCATGGCATTATACCTAGCTCACATTTACATCATCATATTCAATGTCCATAGTCAAGAACCAAACGTGTACTCATTGTCATGAGAGAATTATTTGGGGATGCTCATTAGTGAAAGTCGAGTCATTGTTCACACAAGTAAATATATATTTCTATAATCCACTTCTTGAGAAATTTTTCATTTTGTAAGAATAAGCTAAGGCTGCATATCAGCCTATAACAATGTGTTTTAAAGTGTTCAAAGTTAAACAAAAAAAGAGTAAACTTCACCTTCCATAGGCCAATGGAAAACATATGATGTGATGAAATAGGAAACGATGCAAAGTTTGAGGCTTAGAAATTTTGGAACTGCTATTTTGGAGAACCGGCCATGGCTACAAAATAGCAGGTGAAGAAGAAAGAAAAGAGAAGAAAATAAAAGTGGGAACAGTGGGAAATTGAGCCACACAGAAAAACATTCCAAATTAACTCCCACTTTTTCATTTTATGGGAATTTCCCTTTCTTGAAATATTCGGAAATGGCGATCAGGGTTTGGATGGTGGTGAGGACGATGAGAAAAAGGGCAGCGCAGAGAGACGTGACCTTCCAAGGGGAGCGGAAGTATGTGTCGAAGTTTTCATACTTGAAATTGGCCCAAACGTGCCAATGGCTGTCGTAGTGCATGTTCACGCCACCAAACACGTGCCTTAAGTAGCTTACAGTGACATCACACGCCGCTGCCCTCCCGAGCCTGCCCACAAACGCGACCACGTCAGCCGTAGTCCCTAAAGAGTGGTCCAAGACATGGGCCTCACGCAGAATGTCCACGTCCTTGTCTGTGCGTATGAGGCAGTTCAGAAGGACCGCGTATGCTGATACCACCTTGTCTACCTCCCCATGGCACTGCTCGAACGCCACACAGTTCAGCAAGAATGCCGTGTCGTCCAAAGCTACCCGGGGCATCCAGATCACTCCCCGCTTGAATTTCACCGCCAGGAAACTCTTCTTCCAATCTCTGTTCAACTTCAGCTTGATTCCTGCTCGGCGCAGCTTCGAGATGCTCTCAATTTTGCCGATTCTGAGATGCCTTAATTCCCAATCGATTATCGGGAAACACTTCAGCAGGGACGTTCCACCCGGCATCTCCAAGATGCAATGGGTCGTTTGGGTGAAGCCGAGCTTATTGTAAGTCTTTGGGATATAACTTTTCCGGACTAAATCAAGTAGATGTAGGCATTCCAAGTCGTGACCTAAAGCATTATTAATGTTGAAGAACTCGAGGGCCGTGTGGGACAATGAATGGCGCTTGTTCCAGACCTCAGTAGTAAGGTCGAACAGCTTCTGGAGCACGATATATGGTATTTGGTTCTCGAGGCAGAGAAAGTCCTCGTGGAGACTATATTGTATCCATTGCATCGACCGAAATGGATCGTCTTCATGAAAGGAAGCCACCCCGGTGAATGCGAGAAACATTTCAACCACAAAGCACCCGTCAAGAACCAACATTTCTACAAACTCATCGCCTTTGAGAGCAGTTATATCCTCCGAATACGATGCTCTGGCCACCGCTGCCAATCCTTCCACAGCTGTTACGTAGTCTTCCCAATCCGCACCGTTTTTCGTGGCCGTCCTCCGTATCGCTCTCTCCAAAAACCTCCACTTGTGCTTCTCCATCTCCCTCAGATGCGGCTTCCCGCGGTGGTATGGACCGATTGAGACCGTGCGAGGTTGAAACGTCCTGGCATCGACTTCGGAATCGGTGAAGCCCCGAGGTACCCGGAAAATGCAGCAATCGTTTCTGTCGACCGATTTGCCGATTAATTTCTGTTGTTCCCACACCTTGCTTTGCATCAATCGGATGAGTTCTCGAACA